TTCTCAGCAGCGTCGTGCAGCGGGGTCCCGCCCCACAGGTCCTGCGAGATCTCTGCTCCGTGCAGCAGGAGCCAGCTAAGCACTTTGGTGTGGCCGCGACTGGCGGCAAAGTGCATGGCCGTGGCGCCGTCGTGGTCCTGCTCGGACAAGCTCACGTCTGCGAAGCTCACCTGGCAGGGAAGGGGTGGGAGGGGCAGAGGGCGGGGCTTGAGCTAAGCCCCTTGCGACCCCACTCACCCCCAGCGCTGTCCTGCTCTGGTCCCAGCTCACCAGCCACACAAGGACGGGGTTGTGGCCCATCTGCGCCGCGGCGTGCAGAGGAGTCATGCCGTCTTGGGCGCTCACGTGCGGGTCTGCGCTGCACTCCTGTACCAGGTACTTCGTCACCTCCAGGTGGCCCTCCTGGCACGCCAGGTACAGGGGCGTGGCACCGTTGCTGGTTTGGGCATTCACTCCCCTGCGAATAGACAACACCCCCCGTGGGTTCTGGATGCCCACTGCGCTCTCCTCAAAGCCTCCTCTAGCCTGGCTCTCAAGAGCGGCCTGGAGAGGCTGTGTGTTTCTGAGTTCTCTGGCTCAGTCTTACACTGCTGTCCCTCAGAGTCCCTCTCCACTTTCCACCTCCTTCTGCCTACACAACTTTTCTATATAGTGCCTAAATCTACCGCTTAAAAAAATTTTAACCAGGCCAGAAGAGAGCACCAGATCCCGTTATAGATGACTGTGAGCCACCATGGGGTGCTGGGAATTGAACTCAGGACCTCTGAAAGAGCAGCCAGTGTGCTCTTATCTGCTGAGCCATCTCTCCAGCCCCTTACTTTTTCTTTCTTTCTTTCTTTCTTTTTTTTTTTTTTGAGACAGGGTCTCTCTACATAGGCCTGGCTGTCCTTCACTATGTAGCCCAGGCTGGTCTCTAACTCACAGAGATATGCTTGCCTCTGACTCTAGAGTGTTGGGATTAAAGGCATGCACCTCCATGTCCAGCTAAGATAATTTTAAATGATATTTACTTATTTATCTTTTTAAAATTGATTTTCTTCTTTCCCTTTTATTGAAAATGGCTCCTTTCTCATACATTATATTTACTTATTTGTATGTGTGTGTGCATGCAGGCATGGATGGCCACAAGGTGGTCAGAGGACAGCTTGTTTTCCGTCCACCATGTTGTTCTTGGGGATGGAACTCAGGTTATTAGGCTTAGCGACAAACACCTTTACCTTCTGAGCCATTTCACGAGCCTTCGACCCACCTTTGAACCAGTGTCTCTAAGGACATGATTGCCTGAGTTTTCCTACCTTTTCAGCTGCTGTTGCTGTCACTGTGCGCCCCCACACTTGCTGTCTGAACTCTGCCTGTCTCAGGTGTCTCCCCATTCAGAAGGCCCACTCTTTCCTCTTTAATACTCAGGACCCGAGCTGGAGAGATGGCTCAGGGGTTAAGAGCACAGGACACTGGCTTCCAGAAGTCCTGAGTTCAATTCCCAGCAACCACATGGTGGCTCACAACCATCTATAATGAGATCTGGTACCCTCTTCTGGGGTGCAGTCATATATGTAGACAGAACACTGTATACATAATAAATAAATAAATCTTTTTAAAAAGACTCAGGACACATCTCTCTTTCCTGAAGCCTGCCTATCCTTTCTCCCCACACCTTCTGGAGGCCCCTTCTACCTTGGGCCACTTCCTTTGGTGGCCTGGTATGTATGGTTAGCTATAGCTGCTACTGGCCTGGGCCTCCCCCAGGAAGCTGATTTCCTAGACTAGGCAGGGCTGGGGGTTTCCAGGTAAAATGCAGTGTGCCCAGTTAACCCTAAACTTCAGATGGACATCAAGTGATGTTCTAGCATGTGCCACATACTGCATCCTTGGGTTCACTGTGAAGGGTGCTTTAATAATGTGAATTCCCTGTGTGTGGGTTCAGATCCCCTGAAACTGGAGTTCCAGGTGGTTGTGAGCCTCCATGTGGGTGGAATAGAATTTGGGTCCTCTGCAAGGGCAGTCAGTGCTCTTAACCGCTGAGCCACCTCTCCAGCCCAGACAAGTATTTCTTAAGTTCTGTTGTTATTTGTAGGCTAGGGCATTCTTATCTTATGTCACACAACTGGCAAATGTGATAGAATCACACATCTGTCTGTGGGATTCAGTGCCTGATGAGTGTGACCCACAGTGGACACGCGGGTAGTGGTCCAGAGTGGGGAAAAACGGGCAGGACCCGTGTCCCGATGGCTTCCCTTATGGTCTAACTTTGGACTGCTACTACCCCTTATCTTTGCTCCCCCAGCCCAGCAGTTTCCTAACTGGATAACAGAGCTCCATTCCCACAGGTGGGGATGCAATTGAAGAGCATTGAAGCCAGCCTGGCCACTAGGTGGATAACAGGTTTGGGTTGCGCGGGATGCAGTGACCAGGAATGGACACTGGGTGGAGCCACAAGCTACTCCAGATCCATCACCTGCCCATTCAAGTCTACAAACTCATCAAGCTGGGAGTGGGGATCCATCCTTTTACTCTCCAGTCTTTCATGTTTCCACCCAAATTATTCTTCCTAGCTAAGCATCTACATATCAACCAGACCCATTAAGCCCCTCCCTCACTGGTCCAATAGTCTGCATGTCCCTCCTCCTCTAGATAGATCTGCCCATGCACCAACCCCACAACATAATTTAGGTCTCTGCTCTTACCCAGATGAGCGTGTCTTCCCCTCCTTAACCACAGCCATCCCAGCAGCCCCGAGCCTGGAGCCTCTCTGCATCCCCCACTTAGTTCTCATCCCCTGTCTCTCCTGTCTCCTTGTGCTGGCATCCTTCCCACACCCCAACACAAAGATGCCACTTGTTGCTCTAATGTTGAATCTGGGGGAAAATGAGTGCCACACCTGGTTGTCCTACAGTATGACACTCCAGGGAGGGCTGGGGATGTAGCTCAGTATCACAATGTCTGTGTGGCATGTGGACTGCTCTGAGTTACAGCCTCAGGAACACACAGACACACAGACACACGCACGGGCACACGCACGCACGCATGCACATACACACATGCGCATACACACGTGCGTGCACACACACGGATATACACGCACGCACGTAGACACACATGCACATACATACATGCACACACGCATACACAGACACACAAATGTCCACACACACGCGCAGACAGATATACACGCACACACGTAGACACACACGCACATACACACATACACACATGCATACACACGCATGCACGCACTGCGTATCCTGGCACACGCCTATCATCCTAACATTTACAAAGCTGAGACAGGAGGATCACTGAGAATCTGGATTACATAGTAAAATCTTGTATCTAAAAACCTAAAATAAAATGAAACAGGGAAAAAATTAAAAAGTAGGTCCTGCCTACACAGTCCAGGGCCGGCAAAAGACCCAGCGGTCGGCCGCACACCTCTCCTTCTATCCCTGCCGACTCACGGCCCCAACCTGCAATCCCAGTGCCAGCGTCGCCCCCACACACTGGTGTGTCAGGAACAGCCTGCTAAATATTTCATGCCTGACACTCAGCCGCTTGAATTATTCACCCAGTAACCAAGGCACAGTGAGTGCTGGGGTCCTGGGGAATCGGAAGCCAGAGGGGGTGACCCCCAGGGCCTGTGAGTTTTCAGGGTGGGGCAAGGCAATTCACACAACAAAGAAAGCCAGAGCCATTATGAGCTTTGTCTTTCTAGCCCCTTCTGGTTGGTGGGTAGCCACCATCCAGGGGTATCTATCCACCTAGGAGGAACTGGACAGCAGAGGGCAGTGGTGCCCACATCCTCCTGTCAGTCAGGAGCTGCCACTCCCGGCAGAGCCTTGGCACATAGTAAAGGGTCTCATTATTACCAGTATGTCAACCTCTGCCCTCTGGACTCCTGCTGAGGAGTGGGAGGCCCAGGGCATGGGCCGTGAGAAGGGGGCAGCCAACCATCTTCTTGCTTGGCATGGAATTAAGAGGAAGCCCAGGCTCCCTCAGACTCACTGGGGAGAAATCCCCGAGCTATGGATAAGCATAAGGAAGGAAGGAAAACTCCTGGGACTGGGTGGGTGAATGAACAAGAACAGTAACAAGAAAAACGGGGCAGGTGACATGGGGCACACCTTTACTCTCACTCTGGAGACTGCGTCAAGCAGATATCTGTGAGTTTGAAGCCAGCCTGGTCTACAGAGTGAATATATAGAGAGTCTCTTTCCTAATTAAAGAAGAATGACTTCTGACTGATAACAGTTACCTTTTTCTCTGTTTTTTCGAGACATTGTTTCTCTGTGTAACTTCCTGGTTGTCCAGGAACTTGCTTTGTAGACCAGGTTGGAGATCCGCCTGTCTCTGTCTCCAAGTGCTGGGATTAAAGGTGGCGCCACCGCAGCCCGGCTATAACAGCTACTTTAGCTGAATGGTTACTCACTGCAAGTGCAGTGTTAGCCAGTTTCACGCCTCTTCCCATTCAGTCCTGCTATGGTCTTAGGGGTGAATGTTAGCCCTGTCCCCCTTTCTCAAAGGAGAAACCTGGGCATAGAGGGCTAAGATCATTTGATACAAAATAAACAAAGCTGTGATGTGAACCTGAGTTCAACAGAGAGGGAGAGAGAGAGAGCGAGAGCGAGAGCGAGAGCGAGAGCGAGAGAGAGAGAGAGAGAGAGAGAGAGAGAGAGAGAGAGAGTTTGCAGCTGCACCCATGCTGTGGCCACACCTTTCTTGTCTGTCTGTCTGTCTGTCTCCCTCTGCACACAGACCTCTACCCTTCTCTCAGGAACCCTTTGCCAGTGGGTGGGCTCAGGTGTGCTTGGGCCTGGGAACATGACAAGGGCTGAGGAGGACCAGGTGTAAGTCCCACCTCCCCCAAATTGGGTCACAGTGTCCCTTCTTGTCTGAGTTCTCAAACCTACAGTTAGGTTGTTTCTTCTGTGCCTGGGAGGATGAGCCAGGACCAGGGGTCCTGTCAAGCATATGTCAGGTTAGACTTCATGTCTACTGTGTGTGTGTGCATGGTGGGGAGGACCCTAACTAAAGGGGACAAAAAGGATCTCAGGAGACCTTTGCTAAGGGGGGACCTCCAGATGACTCTTGCCTGGCTCTCCTCTAGCCCATCGGCTTTCCATGCGCCCCGTGTCCGCTCATCACCTATCACCGTGTGAGGCCCCAGCACAGGGCCCTTTGCCCTCCCCAGCCTCATATGGTAAAAGTAGGCATCGCTGTACAGCCTCTCCCGTACAGCTGACTCTTCTATAAGCCAGCATTAAGGCAGCTTGTGAAGTGTCCCCTGGTGGGTGAGGGGTGCTGGCCTTCCCACTGCCTTCTCCTGAGGCCAGCAACCACCCCCAAACTTCGCTCGGGTCCAGTCAAAGTCTCAGGGCCATTGTTCGGTCAATACCCAGTGGTCTTACTGGCTGAGCACTGCGCACCAGGGCCCCTTCCCAGCGCCAGCTCCTTCGCTGCCTGTTT